CTGCTGCTAAGCAATAAACAAAGTATATAAATGTCAGGAAACTTTACGAGCTTTTAAAAACAATTAAATTAATTTCACATAGTCAAGGAAAGTTTACAGAGTATTTCTTGTAATGGGATGAAACGCAGCAGCAGAAAGTACCACGGAGAATGTGGACACCTAATTAATATCCCCACATACTCAGGATATAAAACTTCCTGGAGGAAATACATCTCGCAGAAGTGGTGTCGTTTCTGAATGGGTTTTTCTTATGCTGGACCTTGCACTTTAGGACTCATGGCACAAGGGAATACTTAAAAATATCTCCAAGCTCGAAATAAATCTGCCTCTGTGGGGTGCAGGATGGCTGGCACCTGCACCCCACATCCTGCAGAGGCAGGGTGGCTGGCTGGAGGCAGCAAGCCATCCTCTTGCCTCTGAAGGTTACAAGAAAACATCCCATGGCAACAGGTTGTCTTGTTCTTGCCTGATGTAAAGGCTTCTGTTTCTTCCTTGACAGAGCTGATATTGTTGCCTGATCAAGAATAGTAGTTTGTACAGTCCTAAATCTTTCCATAAAGTATTAATCCCACTAGCAGGCTCTGCCTGTTTGCATCCAATGCACATACAGTATGTCAGTACATTTTCTACTACCAAATTTATCCCTTTATTTTTATCCACTGGTCTTCGCTTCCAGAAGCATTTCAGATATTCAGTGACTTACTATTAAATGGAGAGAGCCTACACACCATAGTTGAGCACAGCATTATTTAGAGGAAGCAGAAATATCCAGGTGCAGGCTGCCATCATACTGATGGGTTTGTGGATGGGAAAAGGAGACCAGGGCAAGGACAGTAGGACAGGACATCTCCTGGGACAGTCCTTGGCACCAGCTGTGCTCAGAGCTGTGCCTTGTCTTCGTCTGAACAAGAACTTGCTGGTTGACTGTGAAAGAGGAAGCTAATAGGAAAGACTGATTAAGTACCTGTGTGTAGCCTGGACTCCCAGGAGACTGGGATCTATAGCAGAGCGGGAAGCTGAGTTCCTGGGCAGCAGTGGAAGTATCTGGCACACAGACTCAGACTCCATGGGCTGCCTTGGGAAAGTCAAACCTAACTGGTGTCAATGAGAATCAGTCTCCATGGTGCGTGCAGCAAGAGCCAGGTATGTCATTTCAAGCACATGTCCCAGGTGCAAACCAGTGGCTGTGGACAAGAGATGGCTTGTATCCAGCCTGCAGGATGCTCAGGTGGGAGAGCCTGGGCTTTCCCCAGGCATGCTTACTGTCCCAGCTCATGCACTGGAGCAGGAATTGAATTTAAAGCAGTCAGTCTATGCTTCATTATGGGTCTGTGCTTTTCCACTGAAATTTCTGTGTTTTCCACAGACAGCAGTACAGAAAGGGTCAAATCCTTGTCTGGTGACATGGAGTTGTCTTGCTGCTCCTTTGACAGGAGATTAACTTATTGCTTGCCATATGTGTCAAAGTGCTTACCATATGTATCATAGATATAAGTGCTTGCCATATGTATCAAACTTTTATTCCTAATAGGATATTACAAAATAAAGCAGTGATGTGCCTCATGTATTAAAAATGATAAACAGATCTTTAACTGAGTTGGTGTGTATGATCTGGGATCCCAGCCTGTGGCTTGCATATGGAGTTTTTCCACGAGGGAAGAAATTAGACTTCAGAAAAATGCGTCTTAGTATCTTAGCAGCATTAAAAGTATATGAAAATAGAAACTGGAACCAGACCCAGTGCCACATACTATTAAAATGTATTAATCAGGAGGAAAAAAAAAGAAGAAAA